TTGCCGCGCGAATTCGCATTTGTCGCGGTTGGCTTTGTACTTGGCCTGTCGTAGCCGTTCCAGAACGGTGCGCAGGTGCTCCACATGCTCGTCCAAACTCCGACTGTACACCAAGATGTCGTCGAGGTAGATGAGTACGAAACGATCCAGCATGTGTCGAAACTCCAATGTCATAGCCGCCTGGAATGTGGCTGGGGCATTCGTAAGGCCAAACGGCATGACCAGCCATTCGAAATGCCCATATCGCGTTTTAAACGCAGTCTTGTATCGGTCCTCCGGGCGAATCTCAAGTTGGTGATAACCCGACTTGAGGTCCAACTTGGAGAAGAACTTGGCGCTGCCCAGTCGCTCCAGCAGATCGTCGATGCGTGGGAGAGGGCTGGCGTTCTTGACCGTCTGCGCGTTGAGCTTACGATAGTCGATGCACAACCGCAAATCCTTGTTCTTCTTCCGGACGAAGAGAACAGGCGCACCGTATGGCGAAGAGCTAGGYCGAATCCAGCCTTTCTCCAGAAGGTCGTCGAGTTGTGCCCGTAGCACACTTAACTCTTCCTCGCTCATTCGGTAGATGCAACCACGCGGAGGTACAGCCCCGTCCTCGAGGATGATCTTGTGGTGGATGGGCCGATCCGGTACTACCCTGTGCGGGGCCTCGAACACGTCACTATAAGTGGCGAGAAGCTCAGTGATGCATGGGTCCGATGATGCGTCCGTCAATGGGGTGTCCTGGGGCGGGAGGGCGTGGAGAAAACACACCCCCATCTCCTCAATGTCATCCTTGATGATGGAACCTCGAATACTTGCGGCGGACACCACGTGACAGCTGATCGAAGGGTGAGGAGGAGGCACCGTGCATGGGACTAGTACTCCATTCCGGTCACGAACGTGAACGGTGCAGCGGTAGAAGTTCACCCGGTGGTCCTCACTTCGCAGCCATGACATGCCCAAAATCATGTCGAACTTAGTGTCCAGAATGTCGAAGGACACGGCCTCGCGTGCATGCGGGGCGAAATACACAGGGACGTTGTCAATGCACCGGTCAATTGACTTGTGCGTGTGACCATCGGCCAACGTCACGTGTGTCGGATGGGACTTCCTCCTGACGCGTGGGCCAAGGCCGGCACGTACCATGAAGTCCTGACTCATGTAGTTGCGAGTTGCACCGCAATCGATCAAGGCGCCGCAGGTCGCCTCTCCGATCTGAATGCGTACATACAACAATGGTGCGTCAATGTCGTCGTACCGTTGTGCCTTGAACTCGCGGTCGATCTTCGCGATGTACTCCTGAAGGTCGACAACCTCTACTCCGGCGTCCATCAACGGAGTTGGTACTGCAGTGTGCAAATACTCCCGCAATTGTGCCATGAGCACATTGTAATGCGGTTTCGACAATCGACCGGTCGGGGGAACGGGCATCCACTGGAAGTCCGCGACTGTCAATGGGTCGAGCTCTTCAAGTCTTGACCACATCGACGAATCCCCTGAGGTAAATGATGGCGGAACTGCCGAATCGGTTGCCGATGGAGATGAAACCGTGCATGCGGTGGAGTGTAGGTGCTTGGAGTGGCCCTGTCGGTATAGGTGCTTGAAGTGGTTCGGTGATAGGTGCTTAGAGTGGTGCGGCTGGTCGGTGCTTGGAGTGACTCGGTGGTCGACGAGGACCTCCAGCGACACTTCATCAGGGGCTATCAGTCTGATCCAGAGTTTACTACGTTGTATGCGCAACTATCTTCGGATCACCCGCCGGCCAGCCACTATCGCATTGCCGACGGGTATTTTCTCCTCCACTCGAGAGGCAAGGACTTACTGTGTGTCCCACGCGACCGCCATCTTCGGACTTGCCTTCTCGGCGAGTATCATGATTCGCAACTCGCCGGCCATTTCGGAGTCAATCACACGATTGCACGGCTTCGACAACGATTCCGATGCCCCGACCTCGTTTCCGATGTCATGCGGTATTGCGATTCTTGCGAAGTTTGCCGACGCAGCAAACCCCGCAACCGCAATCCCTATGGCGAGTTACGCCCGATGCCTATCCCTCGGGAACCCGGTATCTCCATTGCTATGGATGTCACCGGTCCGTTTCCTCGAGACCGGCTCGGGCACGACGGCATCCTCACGGTTGTGGACCGATTGAGCAAGTACGCACGTTTTCTTCCTTGCAAGTACTACTCCACGGCTCCCACCGGTTGGATTTGTGGCCACTGCGTACCCGAGGACATAGTCAGCGACCGCGACACTCGTTTCATGTCGACTTTTTGGACCTCTCTCATGCAGGAGTCCGGCACGACGATGAAACCCAGTTCGGCTCGGCATCCACAGACAGACGGGCAAACGGAGCGGGCACATCAGACCGCTAAAATGATGCTTCGTACGCTCATCCGTCCGGACCAGAAAGATTGGGTTGACCGCCTCCCCGACATCGAGTTCGCCTACAACACTTTAGTGCACCCGACGATCGGTGTGACTCCATTCGAGTTGCACCACGGTGGACGGAAAGGCCGTATCTTCGCTGATCTTCTCCTCCCTCGACCAGCCGGCATTGACGCCGCTTGCTCTCCCGCTTTCGTCCGGAAGTACAGGGAATTGCTGGCTCAAGCCCGCACAAACATGCAAAAGGCTCAAGTTCGCATGCAGCTGCAAGCCAACAGGCGCCGCGTACCATGTCCCATCCGCGCCGGAGATCGAGTTTGGGTCTCCTCGGAAGAGTTTGCATTGGAACAGGATGTCTCACGCAAACTACTCCCTAAGTGGTTTGGACCATGGACAGCGACATCAGCCGCGGGCGATGAGCCCGATGGCTCTTCATTTATGATCGACATTCCTGAGCATCTGACGGTCCATCCAGTCTTTCATGCGTCAAAGCTGGCAACATATACACCAGCTAAGAGCGATGACTTCCCGGGCCGACGATCGCAGGACCCTCCTTCTATGGATGGTCATCAGGAGGTTGACCGCGTCATCTCAGTTCGCAAGTATGGCAGCAAGCCGCGCCAGTACAAAGTTACACTCAGAGCATGCGATCCCGACGACACTCGGTGGATTTCAGGAGCAGATTTGAAAGCGTCTGCACCGCTGATCTACGCTCACTACGAGCGACAGAGG